ATATATATATATATATATCATACTATTTGCCTGATATATGTCAAACACGATTTTTTTGATCGAGCATATATTCGTTTTTCTCGATACATTTCTCAGATTTGCTAATGTAGATCATTTTTATATGGCGCAATGTGCTTCTTGCCGCGACACGTTACTATCACCGTGTTTTAGAGATGCCTTGCATCACACATTTAACATATTTTCCTCTGTCTCGGATAAAGATCTTGAATTTTACCGCGTGCATATCAGCGTAGACAGACGAATACGGTTGACTCTGTAGCATAGGTTACTATTTATAGATACACATTGTATTTTTTTTTTCTTTTTTTTTTTCCTTATGTCATACTGTTTGTCTAACGTTGAAATGTTTTGTCAGATAAAATGGCTGCATCTAAATCAGACCACCACGACTTAACGCATTAAGCACCTTTTGTATACACAGAGAATCGAAAGGGTGTTTATATTCTGACACGTTATACACACGACTGCACGTTAAAAACGCGGAGAGATCTCTTTGCATCGAACGACTGGAGACACGGTTTCCCGCGTTTCTTTACTTCTTTATACGTCTTCGTTTCTTCTTTTATTTCTGCTTTTTCAAAGCGCATGATTCGAAATATAAGAGAGAAAAAAAAGACTCCGTCTCGCTCGGACGGTTTCCGAGCAAAAATGAGAGGAAAAAAAAGAGAAAAAAAACAAAGCCGCTTAAAGGGCCCTTCTGTATATACGACTGAGCGGACAAGAATGCAGTGTTTGTGATAGAAGAGTCTTGTGTGTGATCTGATGACGAGAGGTACGCGTGGTACAATTATGTACACGAGACACAGCTAGTCAGTGACACGCGCATTTGCGATACATAAACACCTTACACACCGGGAGACACTATTGCCGCACAGAAAAAAAAAAAGGAAAAAGAGATAAAATGCCGTTGATAGAAACTTTCAGTTTGGATGCTGGCTAGTTGGATCAATTATTTACGATTCGCTATCTTGTGTTATTTTTTTCTAGCTCTGCTGCTATTGTTCGTTTTTTTTGGCTTGATACTTTTTATTGTTAAAAGTACTACCATTGCCCATGTACAATATTATATCGAGCACACAGTAGCTTCGCATCCGCCGATATTAAATATGTTCCATATGACTGATGCTGTTTGTGCTTTAGCGTGACTAAGGCGTTGTTTAAGTTTCTGTACGATACAATTTTGTTATATATCTATATATACATACCTATATTATTTCCGAAATATATATTTTGTTTTCACAAACATGTGTATGTGTGTTCTGTCTTCCACTGGTAATTCTATTCCAGTCCTGTTTAATTTTAAGCGAATCCAAAGCAAGTTAGGCGATTTGTAAATTACGTATTGTCAAGCGTTCGATTGTTATGTTTTAGCTGTTTGAAGGAAAAATGGAATTATTTAATACTTCTTTCTTAAAAGAAACGAATATTTTAAGTTAAAGATTAATTTCCCAATTAGTTGTTCGTTCAGATATTAATAATTCGTTAAAAAAAAAAAAAAAAAAAAAAGAGGATATGAAAGCTCGCTCGCGAAAATACGATTTGTATCTAGCGATTTGGCTGTGATTGCGATTTTATGCTTTAGTAAACAATCCAAGTGCATGATGCTGTGTCCTTATCGAGCCGTTGTAACGCGCAAAAATGGAATTTATATGAAAGACCTAATCAATGACGTTTTCATTTCTATGCATGCCTCTTGACTCATGAAGGAGAGCGTCTGTACTCGACGAGGAATAAATATCAGCGCTATGCTCATTATCTATACTGAAAGGCGACAAGTGTTGTTGTTATTGTTGTCGCCGCCTTGTCGTTGAACGTTCCGAATGTCATGTACACGCACATGCGACCGTCCTTGCAGTTGTCAAACGAAGGCTTCGCGACTTTAATTCACAGAATTGGAATTATAGATACGTAAACTTACTCGCAATGTGTTCCATCGATGTGATTTGTAATCGTGCGAGGAACGTTCTCTGCTCGGCGGTATTCAAATCTTAGATAGCAAATTGTTTGTTAATTGTGTAAATTGCGCTCGCCGAATCGTTTATTATAAATTGCGTTAATTCTACGTTATGTTGTATCTCGTTTTATGCAATTGGGACGTAATTTCCAAAAGTTTAAGTTGATTTTAGCGTTTAAGTTGGCGTTGGCAAAAATATCGAAGAACATCGAGTGTATTCCAACAGAAGTGTGATGTGTAAATTTACAAGACAAACACAGACAAACACAGACGAGGAGTAAACTGTAGTAGGACTATTTCTTAGTCTCGTCTCGGAAAGACTCGATTGATTTTGTATATTAGCGGATTGAAAATATTATATTTACTTTAGAGAAGCTTTATTAAAGTTTTAGAAATGATTTTCAAATTAAATCTAAGCCAACGATCTTGGCGTTTGTATAAGGCAAGAAATTTGAAGAGAGATGTGACTCTATTTAATAGAAAATCGTAATTTCTTGATATAACTTGGGCTGCAATTATATCGAGGGTCATTATACACCAAATACCGCAATATGATTTTTGCTCAAAATAAATGACAATTATTCAACGAGTTTAAGGCTGGATTGTTCCACTTTTTGGTAAACTTCAGCTCACTATCTTACTCTCTTACTCTCTTATACTCTTACTCTTTATTTATCCAGTAGATAAATTATCACATGGTTTATCCAAAGATGAAACAATCAGCCCCTAAGAGTTGCAATGTATATTAATCTGTTTCATAATTTTTAATCTATGCGACTTTTGTTATTCCAAACACCACGGTAGAATTGTTATCATGCACTGCGAAGATGGATTAATTAATACGTCATTTGAATAGATTTTGACAGCGCGTTTTTTTAAATGTCCTTTTTGGATTAGAAATACAGCGAACCTTCGTAAGATGTTACACCTAATACGTACAAGAATAATCAGGCGAGATTGATCTTGACGATCTAGAAAATAACGAAATCCGAGAATAAACTTCTCAACTGTCTGCTATTTAGATAGTATTAATTCTCAACATACGAAAAAATAACATATGCGGCAGACTTTGTAGTTATAGCCACTACAGTCTAGTAAAATTTGCAGATCAAATGAATAATTAATAAACATCGTTTCTTCTAGTAGGGATCAATATCTTTCTAAAATTTAGTCAAAAAAATATCACACACATATGCTTCCTCAAGCTGAGGATGCGTCCGACTATGTTATCGGTGGCAGTCTCGAATGGAAAAAAGCGAAATGAAACGTACATTTAAGACAGTACAACAGTTGATTTAGCTATTAACACACGTCTCAAATTTTGAAGATGGTTTTTAAGCACAGAGGAAAGATTTAGGAACAGGTTAAAATAAAAACATTCATTTGGTACGTTTTCGAAAAAATTCTTTCTCAAAGACAGCTTTTCTGTTGTATGCTTTTATCTTGATCAAATTTAACTTGGAAAGCGAAACGAAATTCTAATCTATATATATAAGATTAGAGAGACGAAGTACAGAGAGTACTTGTCAGAGTCGGACAAGACAAACGTTGTGAAAAGATGTTAAAATCAATGTTGAAGAGTTTCAAGTAGTTAAATCGATTTTTATAGCACTTGGAGCGCACGTACTACTTTAATATATCAATTACCGGATGCAAACGAATATCAATGTACGAAGCACCACGGCCTTCCATTTGATCGTATCGGCCTGTGATGCGTTGCGAAGAGTCATGCTACCGAATACATTTGGCGGTATCAATAATTAGCTAATTAACACTACACAATATTGAGAGATAGACGAGTTATCGCTCGATTTTTGTAGGATAGAAACCTTGCATCGTCTCGCGGTCTCTTTAACGATTCTCGCTGTTAGACTCTTTCGTCTCTCTTGAATCTTAAACGACGCTTTAAACGATCGACCCGGCGATGAGAGAGCCGGAGAGAGGTGGATCCTGAGAGCTAGAAGTAACATGTATAGTATGTCCTTCGACTCTGACAATCGTCCATCCTCCGTGGATTTATCGCAATCTTATCAGTTGCGTGCGACAGAAGGAAATGAAATGCGATTACATCCGGGGCATAACAACAGTACGGGTAATTTCTCTCGTTCGAAATTCTGTAATTGCGCGAGATTCCTTAATAATAATAATGCAACACATTTATCGCCGCGAAACGATATCAAATAAGATGTCTTTATTATATAGTAAGAATACACAGCCTTTGATAGTAATACTTATAAAATGTATTATTATTTCAATGTCGTATGTTAAATAGTCTAAGCTATTTGGCCAATGGTTGCAAAAATAGTTGACAAATAACTGCCTAAAGCTGATGTCGATCTGATTTCGTCGAAGATGCCATTCACAATCAGATTCGTATAATTTTCAATGCTTCATGTTGCGAGTAAATTATTTGTTCCACGTGTCTGATCACACTTCATTTTTCTTCTGTCTTGTCGTAGATCGCGTTTGCGAGAGATCAGTTTCCATCCCTAACTGGCGTTCTTTATTTGATATACGATAATTATAAAATTAATTACATAATAATCGCAGAATAATATCTTTTTCTCGGAGGATTTCGAGAAGACTGTTGAGACCGCATAAAAACATTTCTCAAATCTTGATTGATTGATTATACCTGGTGGACATGCTAATTAGGAAGTCAATAGAGAAGAACGTATAAACGCCTGAAGGTCGCCGATGACGTTACCGGTTAGGGGTTGAAATCCCAATCACGTAACGCGATTGAGGACACGATCCACCTTGCTCAACGTAAGATACTTAGACGCTACTTCGCGTAAGGACGAGCGATGTCGGAACTTTTAGGAATTTAATATTGCGAATGCGCCGGCATTTGACCCGCTTCGGTTACTGACCGATCGATCGTCGGAGAGTTGCGAGAGCTTCGATGGACTACATTTTTAAACGCCAATCCGCGTTCGCGGATAGTAGATTTATACGCCGAGTGTCGTGCGGAAAGAAGAAAAAGCGCGCATCAACTTCATCGTTTTGATACTTTATACTTTCTCTTTGATACCTTTTTTTACATAGTTTGTGACTTTTGTCGAAGCTTCGTGTAAAACATGTGCTGGTGTGCGCTTCCCTTTCCTCTTTCTCTCTATTTCAATATTTGAGACATTTGATTGTTAATATTTATTCTTAAAAATCTCCACAATGATTTGCATGATTTTTGACGATCGATTGGTTGATGAACCGATACGCAATATGTTGCACAGCACGATTGCTGCTAGAGAATAAGAAAAGATTGATTAAACGTTGAAAATTTCATCTCAGTAAGGTAGATAGATTAATATAAGGCATCTTTCCGTGCGCCATGAGAGAAACTTCCATCGTTTAGGGATAATCCAATTGGCGAAAGTATTGTGATATTATTTAATTCGAGTAAAAAAAGAAATTTATCGACGAATGTAAAAATTAAATATAATAAATTGAACGACGTATAGATCATTATTTAATATCAAAAGGAAAGGTTTAGCGACTAAATAATTTCTAATTTGCGCAAGCATCAATACAATTTACGTCTGTTATGTAATGTTAGAATCGGTTCTGTCCTTTTTTTTTTCTTTTTCTTTTTTAATTTGCGACTGAATGTCCGAAATGCGAGCTCGACT